AAATCCGTGATAAGGAATAATAAAGCGAAATAGTTATGTTGAAATTTGGGGTCGTGGAAATGAGTATGAAGCAAACGTGGTTCATTTTTCAAGGTATTATTAAGTAACTAATATATGAAATAATAGCTATGGCATTGAAACAGCTTCGCTTCCGCTCTGTACATTGAATAATGTGTCATATACTCTCTCAGAACAAAGGCAATCCACTTCCTTCATCCTATGCATTCTAACAAAGCATATCTGATCTACGGAATCGTATTCCATCCCGTCGCATTCCTTATTGGAGGGAGACAACAGCTGCAGGGATGAGACTGAAAAAAAAAGGACAAGACAGAGAAGTTAGAAAATTAGAAGGAACAAATAGAATATATTCCCAGTCCACAAACGAGCAGGAATTGTTTTATTTGTAGAATAGGAAGATCGGCTTACACATTAAATACAGGTCAATACAGAAGTTGCACGACGCTAAGGCAAGACTCCTACACGATATGACAGCGCCAAGGGAAATCCTGCATTGATACACGATAGGAGTGTAAATGTAAAAGAGAAGAAAAATGATAAAATTGATTGAATAATTGTTAATATTTTTGTAGAATATTGAGCAGCAGAGTATTGAATAATAAAGTATTGAATAATAAAGTATTGAATAATATAGTATTGAGCAGCAGAGTATTGAGTAGCAAAGCATTGAACAGCAGAGCACTGAGCAGTAAAACATTAAATAATAAAACATTGAATAGTAAAATATTGAGCAGTAGAGTATTGAACAGCATCTGAAATTAAATAATAATAAAAAAGTAATTGATTATCCAATTTATATGAATAATTACTTTATCTTTATTGCTTTATTTTATTATTTTTAAAAGTATAAAATTGAAGTATGTAAAATCATTCATTCTATTAATCTATCTTCTTTTTTATAAAAGTTAAAGAACTCTGAATTATCTGCTCATATTCTTTACAATATTTTATACTTCTTTACAATATTTTATACATTATCTCTTAATGAAGTTTTTTATTTTGAATGAAAAGATAATAATATAGTATTACTACTATCTACAATTCATTTGTCAGATAACTTTATTATTATTATTATTATTCTTCCATTATACTCATATACAAGCAGTGCTTATGACGAGTCCTTGTGTAATGTTAAATACAGGCAAGAGTTGATTATACAGAAGGAATGTTTAGTATTGAATGATGTTAAAAATATAACAAAAATATAGAAAAATTAATGGAA